ACTACGGCAAAGTATCCCGGCTGACTAGCCCTATGAAACAACGAAACTCCGGACTAATATATGCACATCCACGCACGCACGCGCACACGCACGCACGCACTCGACGTTAAGCCCACCTCACGTCACCTCACCCTCATTGGTGAAACACACAAGCGCGCTGCGTAAATTCCAGGGCCTAGATTTTCGAAGCTCTCTTAGCCCTAAGATCGTCGTAAGTGCCATACATTAACATGAACTTACGACTATCTTAGCGCTAAGAGAGCTTCGAAAATCTAGGCCCAGGTACGATAATGACTGCGAATCAGGGACTCGAACCAAGGACAAGCATGCAACAAAAAAACATTATTCCACTATACAGCCGCTGTGCCTTTGACCACCTGAAAGTGGTTTTACAGAACAACCTTAGCGCCAAGACTACCTTAAGTCTGTGTTAAGATATGGGAGTTACGTTCACTTTAGCGCTAGGTTCGCACTGTACAACGGCTACCAGTCCACTAATATTCCGAGGACATCGGGAATCGGAAATCGGATTGGTCTCCATGAGGACTAGAACCCGACCTGCTTCGCTAGAGCCACCATAAAACCCTGTCTCTGGCTACAAAATAGGCTCAAGAATCAGAATTCTGTTGAAACAAAACGGTCAAATTAAGGATATTTCTTTCTTGTTAAATATACTGAAGGAAAAAATAAGGGATCACATGAAAGCATAAGTGTTCCTTTATTTGGTTCCAGGTTTCTTCACAAGCTATGCGGTACAACACTTGTGAAGAAACCTGGAAACAAATAAAGGAACACTTATGCTTTCATGTGATCCCTTATTTGTTTTCCTCAGTATATATCTATTTTACCGAGTATATCGAACAATCCGTTTCTGGATGTCGCCCCTTGAAAACAGCTGTTGTTTCCTCACACACGTACGCACACACACAAACAGACACACATGACACACAAACATACAGACACACAGGGCACACACCAACAGACACACATGACACACACACCAACAGACACACATGACACACACACAAACAGACATACATGACACACACACAAACAGACACACATGACACACACACAAATAGACATACATGACACACACAGACACACATGACACACAAACATACAGACACACACACAAACACACACACAAACAGACACACATGACACACACACAAACAGACACACATGACACACACCAACAAACACACATGACACACACAGACAGACACACATGACACACACCAACAGACACACATGACACACACACCAACAGACACACATGACACACACACCAACAGACACACATGCACTCAAAGCCTGACAAAGATATCATTCCAGTCATGATCTTCAAAGTAGTTTGAATTCCAACTGCTGTTCAAAATATGTCCTGTCACGTCAGCTAATTACGACCACATTATCTCCACATAGCTTCAGGCAGGTTCGTGTCTCGGTATTAAGTTGGCACATTTGTCCTGCAGTCTGCTTGTCAGAGTTGTGTCATCCAAACTTAGCGCTACTAAATTTATGTTAGTAAACAAGGAGAACGGCTGGAGGTTCCAGCCATGACCTACACATGACCTAAAATATCATGTTTACACTGTAACACCATACCGTAAAAACCTACAGTATGTGAATGAAAAAAATACTTAAGGCCACGCCCGTTATAGCATATTTCATGTGAGAGTGAGTGGGAGTGAGTATGGTTTTACGTCACTTTTAGCAATATTCCAGCAATATCACGCCTGGTGATAAGGAAATATTAATATGTATTGGTAATGACGCCTAATTGAAATTCTTTGCAATATAAACACTGTAAATATTTTGCATAAATAAATAGTTTATTAAGTAGTAGATTAAGGTGACTGTAACAGAAAAGTGCGGCAGTGCCATTGAGAGGATGCGTAACTGTGAACTGATGCATTGTGGGAAGGGAGTTGAGTGCCGCCATTTGTAAATACTACATAAGTAGACAGTTCGAAGCATGTGCAGGATAACATTAAAGGTGAGCGACATGACACATGATGTCGCGGTATGTCAGTATATCGTGAGTGTTATGAAATTTGATCGATGCATATTATATCATACATTTCAAAAATATGATCTATGGTTAGAAATGTATCTATTCCACCATATTTTTTTCTCCGGACGTTTTTCAGTTTTCCGTATCAAACAAAGGCACCGTAATATTTGAGTGCGATTTGATTTTTACGGCATAGCCATGCAACCATTCAAACTTCGTCCTGCTACGTGGCTGAGGTTTATTTAAAATGAAATACCTGCGTTTTATTTCTTTCCTGCAAACCCTCGGGTAGAACATTAAAACGTTTCTCTGATGCAATCTGGATTTAGTAATAGCGTGAACCGAACGTTTTTCATCGCCAAAATTATTTATCTCTTAAATCGATCTTTCACAAATGTTCACCACTTTCATACCAAAGAATAATTTACTCGAAAACATTATTTCAGGGAAAACATCACGGTAGTAGGCCCTAATATTTACATACCCCCTCCTCGGGGTTTTCCGGGTGGGGTACCCAGTGGCGATACAGGATGTACGTGCGCCGGTGCAGGTGGTCACGTGACTGCCTCAGGTAGTGATGGTTGATAACAGGTGTAATCTTCACAGCACCGTCTTTCAAGAACGTTCAAACATGTGATAAATGCATCTTAACACGGCTCTCACTCACCCCCGGGCAATTTGCCTTGTAGTCGGTTAAGACGATTTGTCTATTCAGGGTTACGTGTTGTGACGTAATCACATTATGTGTACACGTCATCGCTTTTCTTGACAAATCTTTCTCCTATATGTGCTGCGAGGGTTTTAGAGGCCAAGCCAATTATACCGAGGCTGTTAAGTCAGTAGGGTAGACTCGCTAGTCAGTAGGGTAGACATTAAGTCACCTACTATTAATGTAAGGGCAATTTGTCGTTTCTCTGAAGATACTATCTTGATCATTTCTTATTTGTTATCATCACTGAAGTGTGGGTAAATGGGTTTAATCTCGTGTTCAGCATTATTACTCTCATGCAGCGACGTACATGAACAATACACTAATGGAAGTCAACTGAAGAAATTAAAATGTGAAAATATGAAAATGTATTTAAAGCAGTGTATTTTTGTATAAAATGTTGAAAAGCAGCCATTCATTTACTGTCGCTATCAATATACATACATTTTATAAAATACTATTGAACCTTATTGAAAGATTATCTTAGAAAATATATTTCCATCCTTTTTTAAACAAACTTAAGAATTTAAGGACATAAAAAAAATTTAAAATTGGTACTCCCTGATGTTTTACTTAACGACCATTTTGGGGTACAAATCTGGATAAAAGTACAGATTATAGAAGTATGAAGTATAAAATGATGACTGACTATGGTGATATATATGACTCAATGAAGCGGATATTTATTAATACCACTATCTTCATTTTTAGCAGTACTACTCGGGTAAATATTCTCAAGCATGACGTTAAACCCAATTTCACCTCACCTCACTACTCGGTTTACGGGGTCTCACTTTAGTTTTATGGTATTACTTGTATACTGAACAAATAAAGTAAGAGATTATTACTGTATTTGGGGATAGTTTTTCTAGTGAGGTGTGACCAAACTTTTTATAAAACTATCCTCAAGATTACTCTTGATCCCTGATATATTTAGTTCAATACAGAAAATATTTTCGTTTGTTCGGAGCTCCTATTCAAGCGTTCAGAACACGCAGCTGGAACCGGTCAAATCCTAATACCTTCTCCCAGTCTGAGCACCGATATTTACTTTATCCGTGTCATTGTTGAAGCAATATTTTGTTGTTGTATGGAATATTGTACAACGCTGACCTCCTTGGACGTACAATGAATCTATAATCCACATACGTGATGGGTTGTGGTCAGTTTGTATTTTCTCCTGGACAATGTCCAAATAATAAATCTGAGAATGTTTTTCTTCAGTAATAACATACACATGGTTTGTCGGCGTTTAATCGAAATACCTTTAACAAACAGTCGGTAATAGCATATACTCGGCCGGTGAGAGGGAATGTGTTTTGAGTGTCCCAAGATCCGGGGATGTTGACATTCTAGTGTGTTTTCCTTATTAGGTCACGTGGTATTGTATTGTTCGACTATTGTGGATCGAATAGCTCGAATTCCTTGTGCTAAGTGGCCAGTATCACACACCCCGACCAATCCCAGATGGGCCATAATGCGACTCACTTGGGTAGATGGTCTCCTTTAATCTTAACACTTAGCTTCGTCAGAAAACACCAATGAAACAATATTTGTTTTCTGTAGAAGAGTATGAAAGGTTCAGACTTAGTGCTATTCACGCCATGAGACATTTAAGACAATCATCTTTATAGGTAAGGATGGCGAATCGAACCCAGCTTCACGAGTAATGAGCTGACTCTTTGCCCACTGAGCTACCCTGAGACGAATATTTCATCTTCTATGACATTCGTATTTAATTCAAGTCAGTTTATTCTGTGCGGTGCTAATTCATACTGAATTAAGCCAAGAGTTTGTAGGCACAAGGTTAGTGCGTTCGCTCGTTATAATTACAAAGCATGATCGTGTTCTAGTCTCTACAAACGTACTGATTGTAGAGACCTTCCATGGTTTGTATACGGCAGTACAGAACTGAACACAACAACGTCACATAACGCTTGATCAACAACTTCATTCAACCAGATATGACGCTTAAAAGTGCCAAAATTTAAAATAAATAGATACTCACTTGTCAGTGTATGTAAAAATATATCGTACTGTGTATTCATTCAGATTTGCTGAATACCCATATTAAGTCAAATATTGCAATTGCTTGTGCAACGACAAACCGAAACGTGAAGGCAAATACTGCATGCAGTTACTGCCTGTTGTCCATACTGCATGGGGCACACTGTACTATTACAGTGGTTGATCAGTAAGCTCGCAAATAAAAAACAATTGTCCCCATGCAGAGATACGCCATTGACAAAACACCGCGCGTCAGGACGATGCGTGTGTCTACCTCGGGCGTTCAGTTGTAGACTCGAGCAGTTGCAACGCGCGTTCACTGGTGCCCACACCTGAGAAAGCTAACGCCGAGTTTGGGTATCCCCTCCGGGTGAAACTGACGCGTACACCTGTAGAAGAATAGATTTCACATCGTGATCGCACGCTGTAGACAATTACTGGAGTTCAAGAGGACACATTTTGTTGTCATTCAGACCGGACTGACCAGGTGTACGAGACCTAGCAGATTAACGTTCATTGCAATACAGGTAGGTCGAGAACTGTTTTTGTGTATAATTCCTTGTGATTTTAACGTATAGATTAGTTTTATGGCTGTTTAATATATCTAAGATTTGATCATTTTGTCATTATGATCATATGTCTTCGGTAGCACACACAACCGCCATCATCGGCCGGGACAACCACAACGATCACTCCAAGATACACTGTGATTCTGACACCCTCACTCGAAGCGACGATCTGTAGATCTGTAGACTTACATGATATTAATCAAGATATGTATGATCTTCATCGCCAAGTTATTGTTTATTTGTGCTGTTATCCTAACTGTATAATACCGTGAGAAATCGGGCGGAAAGATGGGACGCATGTGACCTCACCCAATCGATCGATTCACCAGTAAAACTAATTCTCAAAACTTGGTATGTTTTAATATCTGTTTTTAATATTTGCAACCAGTACAAATCCCATTATGCAATCAGGTAACAGGGACGCAGAGACTAAACCAGCTGTTACAATTTTATTACGACGCTTCTGTGTGAGTGTTGGAATATGACTACCTATACATGTATATGTGATCAGAACATAGTATATGTGGCTTTACTGTTTAGCATATGTGTTGATCAAGAATAGGCGATGATGTCAGAAACAGAAGTACATGGTGATCTTGATAGTTTTGGCAGATAAAAGACTTACTTCAATGTATATTTATATCTCCACAAAACAGAAGAGACTAGTATGATCCAAATGGAGCTTAGAACAATACTATTATATTTAGTCTTTAGTCATCATAGACCGCATTGGTTCGTTATATTTAGTCAATCATGAGGGAATGGAGACAGGAGAAAATATTTACGTAGATCTATGTAATAAACAATAGAATCAATACTGTGTTGGAGTATATAAGTTTATCATTCAGTGTCGTACGTTTTGTCAGGGATACTCTACAACAACCTTATACAGTCTCCCTGGTTTTGTATACTGTGTTTGAGGGGATTAGAGAGGAGTTGAGGATTATGCACGCTTATTAATAATCATAGTCTTTTATTCACTCTGCCCACAGTGATACATTTCTATTGTCAGTTCTCAACAGCGTGTGGTAACACTGAACACGGCTCCAGTCTAAATAAAATTATATGTGTAGTTTATGTAATTGTCTCTACAATATATACTATATGTGAAATCCAGGAAAGGAAACGACACGGGTGTAACGACTACCGGAATATCAAATTAGCAGGATACGAAATAACACGGAAGAGGAAAAACGAAATCAGATCTGAATTAATAGCGCGATTGCCTTGGTAATTCCTGTACATACCGATAATATTATCAAAGAAGATTATTGAAAGAAGAATTATTAAATTATTACATTCATTGTAATACCTGTATTTGTGAGGCACAAGGATTCTCCCGCCATGTTTTGTGCCCATGAGGTAACGGTAAAACAAGGAAAATCTATACACAACTGAAACATGCTTAGTTCCTGATCTTGTACAAGTTGAGACTCGAAATTGCCAGGTTTAACTGGCACTGGTGCATGTCGTCGCAAAGAATGGTGACTTTTTCTGTCTAAGTCATCCTCAACAGGGCGTTTGATATGACTTCTCTGTATCAGGTTTGAGTCACCCCTTGCTGATGTTCTGTGTAACATGTCGCGAGACACCCCCCAAACTACCCCCTCCCTATTATTCCCCACCCCCTGCCAGTCAGGTTTCTGAGATCAGACACTGTCAGACACTATGAGTACTTGGTTTCCCAAATATACGAGCTGAAGAGACAGTCTGGTTTGTCCAGGAGTGGTAATCCGAGTGTGTACGGGTTTTTCCTCGCAACTCCTCGTCGACCTGGAGTGGGTTTATCAGCTTGGATTTGTTGAGGCTAAAGGAAGAAGGTAGAGGGGTATGCCGGATAATTAATAACCTTCTCCAGGGTGACGAATGCTTTTGTTGGCATGCTGAAGGGTTGGAGGTGACACGTCTCCCTGATGACCCTTCCGCCTTTCGTCCACACCTTGATCCCTCCATGAACATTCGCGTTGACATATTTGTGAACAGTGCCTTGTACAGATTTCTGAACAGTGTCTCGTACAGATTCATGAACAGCGTCTCGTACAGATTAAAATATTCATGAACAGTGTCTACAGATTACAGATTCATGAACAGTGTCTCGTACAGATTCATGAACATTGTCTCAGTGTCTCGTAACAGTGTCTCGTACAGATTCATTCAAATAGTGTCTCGTACAGATTCATGAACAGTGTCTCGTACAGATTCATGAACAGTGTCTCGTACAGATTCATGAACAGTGTCTCGTACAGATTCATGAACAGCGTCTCGTACAGATTCATGAACAGCGTCTCGTACAGATTCTCGTATTCAAACAGTGTCTCGTACAGATTCATGAAAAGTGAACAGAAATGTCTCATGATACAGATTTCATGAACAGTGTCTCGTACAGATTCATGAACAGTGTCTCGTACAGATTCATGAACAGTGTCTCGTACAGATTCATGAACAGCGTCTCGTACAGATTCATGAACATTCATGTACAGATTCAGAACATTGTCTCGTACAGATTCACGAACAGCGTCTCGTACAGATTCATGAACAGCGTCTCGTACAGATTCATGAACAGCGTCTCGTACAGATTCATGAACAGTGTCTCGTCTCGTTCATGAACAGATTCATGAACAGTGTCTCGTACAGATTCTCAGCGTCGTACAGATTCATGAACAGTGTCTCGTACAGATTCATGAACAGTGTCTCGTACAGATTCATGAACAGAACATGAACATTCTCTCGTACAGATTCATGAACAGTGTCTCGTACAGATTCATGAACAGTGTCTCGTACAGATTCATGAACAGTCTCAGTCTCGTACAGATTCTTGAACAGTGTCTCGTACAGATTCATGAACATTGTCTCGTACAGATTCATGAACATTGTTCATGAACAGTGTCTCGTACAGATTCATGAACAGTGTCTCGTACAGATTTGCATGACAGATTCATGAACAGTGTCTCGTACAGATTCATGAACATTGTCTCAGTGTCTCGTACAGATTCATGAACAGTGTCTCGTACAGATTCATGAACATTGTCTCGTACAGATTCATGAACAGTGTCTCGTACAGATTCATGAACAGTGTCTCGTACAGATTCATGAACAGTGTCTCGTACAGATTCAACAGTGTCTCGTACAGATTCATGAACAGTGTCTCGTACAGATTCATGAACAGCGTCTCGTACAGATTCATGAACAGTGTCTCGTACAGATTCATGAACATTGTCTCGTACAGATTCATGAACAGTGTCTCGTACAGATTCATGAACAGTGTCGTACAGATTTCTGAACAGTGTCTCGTACAGATTCATGAACATTGTCTCGTACAGATTCATGAACATTGTCTCGTACAGATTCATGAACAGTGTCTCGTACAGATTCATGAACATTGTCTCAGTGTCTCGTACAGATTTCTGAACAGTGTCTCGTACAGATTCATGAACAGTGTCTCGTACAGATTTCTGAACAGTGTCTCGTACAGATTTCTGAACAGTGTCTCGTACAGATTTCTGAACAGTGTCTCGTACAGATTTCTGAACAGTGTCTCGTACAGATTCATGAACAGTGTCTCGTACAGATTCATGAACAGCGTCTCGTACAGATTCGGAAACAATGTGTCATACCGGTTCGTGAACATTCGTGTAAAAGATATATGTGAACAGTGTTTTGTACGGATTCGTGAATAGTGTCTCGAACAGGCTACAGATCCACCAACAAGGTCTTGGATATATAGCAATCTTTTACTTACTGTATTTTACAGTCTCTTAGAGTCTTGTCCTGTCAGTGAGTGTCATTTTACCGTGTTTAGCAATATTCCAGCAATATTCCAGCAATATTCCAGCCATATAACAGCTGGGGACACCTGAAATGGGCATCACGTACTGTACCCATGTAGTAGGGATTCGAACCCGGGAGTTCTGCTTGACAACGCTTTAGGTTTCAGTCAAAAGAAATCGTCACCACATTGGTATGAAATATGGATGAAAAAAGACTGTGACCCTTCTACACTCCACAACCAGCAGTATGTCATGAAAGACGGGGCTTGGAACATGATACGTTATTGGATACGACCATGCCATCCCTAGTCAATAGATATTCACATATTGTGCTGCATCGGTGAAATCCCCTCGCCAAGCTGTTGTAGATCGAGATTGGTAGCTGGCAACACCTGTCCACGTTGTCAGACCACACGTGCTCTGTGTAGTGTGATATACTTGTAGATCTATTGATGTGGAGCTAGTTTACTCCTGTGTCTGCACACGCTTGCACAGATCGCTGATAATGTAGGTCAGACTAGCCAATAACAAACGGCGCCATTCATAAATATATTTATTCCGAATATAAGCTGTGCAAATTGTCTTGCAATGGCTTCACTATGCATTTCAATGATAGTTTTAGTTGTATTTTGGTTGTGCAATATTCCAGTGCAATATTCCATCCTGGAATGGATGGACATCCATCCTGAAATGGATTTGTGGTCATTTCAATCACTGGATTGTCCGGTCAAGACGTGTGTAACTGAAAACGTTCATGACAGTAATCGTCCAGATTAGACAGGGTCCGGATTAGAGGCATAAGTAATAACGCTTTAGAAGTGATCTTGATCCAAGTGGTACTGAGAATGTATTTGCAAATGTCGACAGAGAAAGTACTATTCGATAAACCTGATATACGTATTGCGCGTACGCTTGATATAAGCCTATACTTTAGGACATATTAAGAGTGATGATGACGATGATGATGATGATGGTAGGGGTGGTGGTGGTTCTGAGCTATGCGAGGTTAGAGATAGATGAACTTGAGATAGGCCTACTCATGTCACTTCCACAACGAAACTAACATGGCAAAATAATCCAGGTTATCTATGAGCATGGAAGGGGAGATAAAATTCCCTGCATAATTGAAGATGAGGTGGGACTATTTCTTCGATCAACATGTATTTATAGATTAAAGGAGTCGAGAAGTAT